TGCTGTGATGAGCCAGCTCCTCTTTTCACTGGCCCTGGGATAGCTGGCCCTGCTCCTCACTGAATATTGAAGCAGAAGAGCTGGCCCTGAGCCCCTCAAGGTAGATCTCACCCCCCACTAATAAAAGATGGCCCACCCCTCACCACAGGCCTGCCCTCACATGGGCAGCACACTAGAGCTGACCCTGTGGTCAGGAACACAGGTGAGCCTACCCTGAGGTCGTGAGAGCAGGAAAGCTGACCACCACCCCATTCCACCCCTACCATCTGTCAAATGCCCCCTACAGCAATCAGCAGAGGGGTCCCTGCATCTCGCCTGGGCAAAACAGTAGAGCTGGCCCTGGTGGTGTGAGTATGGGTGACCTGAATCTGAGGACCTAAGAGCCAGAGAACTGGTCCCTGCTCCTTGATGCAGGCTGCATTGGGTGAGCTAGCCAAGGCAGTGCTGGAGAGCTTGCCTGGGTAACAATGATGAGGAAAGCTGTCAGGCTGACCAACCCAGTTACCACCCAGGCCCAGAACCAGGGCTATGAGTTGGCCCACCCCAACATCCACAGAATCTATGAACTGTTGGAGCTTGTGAAGGGGAAAAACCTACAGATCCACAACAGCAGCATGACATAGGACGACAACAGGATCTCCAAGAGGATCCCCAGTGAGAGCCCATTATCAGTGGTGTAGCAGAATCCAGAGGCCTTGAACCAGACCAATCACTTGTGGCAATAAACACTTGTAAGTAAAGATGAACGGACTAAATGGTCAACTGTGTGTCTCAACGGGCCACACCACAGCTTCCTTGACAAGATTCTGCTCCTTTGGGGCGGTTGTTTTGTTTTGTTTGGTTTTTGGTTTTTCTTTGAAATTTGGTTTTGTTTAGGGGGAGAGGTCGCAAGGACAGAGGGCAGATGGGAGGGGACAGGGAGATGAGTGGAATCGGAATGTATGGTGTGAAATCCACAAACAATCAATAAAAGTTAAAAAAAAGTAAACAAATGACAATGATGTTGATGGAGATATAGAAAAAGACGAAGTCTTACACACTGCTGAGGGTGATGTAAACTGGTCCAGTCACTGTGGAGAAAAGAATGAATGGTTCTTAAAAGGTAAAAAACAAAACTCGGAGCTAACACATGAAGCAGCTATACCTAATACTGTAAAAGGATTCTCATCATCATGCCACAGAGATACATACACATACATTTTATTCCTGCACTACTCAAATTAGCTAAGAAATGGAACCAGCACAGCTTTTTTTTTTTTTTTTTTTTTTTTGTTGGTTTTTTCGAGACAGGGTTTCTCTGTGCAGCTTTGTGCCTTTCCTGGAACTCACTTGGTAGTCCAGGCTGGCCTCGAACTCACAGAGATCCGCCTGGCTCTGCCTCCCGAGTGCTGGGATTAAAGGCGTGCGCCACCACCGCCCGGCTCCAGCACAGCTTTTTAAAACATGGACACATTAGCACAGTGCACATAGTCCCTGAGACATTTTCACTTTATTAAAAAACGCCGGGGCACCTGCTAGCAGGCCTGAGGACCTGAGTCTGATCCCTGAGGCTCACATAACAGAAGGAGACAAATGACTCCTGAAAGTTGTCCTCTGGCTTTCACACACAGGCCACAGCATCCCCCTCCCACCCCACCCCATACACATTCATGCCCACACTTGTGCATGCACAAAATAATAAAATATAATCAAACATTTAAAATTGAAATTGTAACATTAGCAGGAAAATGGAAGGAACCGGGCATCATCATGTTAAACAAAATTTAGAAAACTAATACCACATTTTCTCTTATACTCACAATTTAGATTCAAGTGTGTGTGTGTGTGTGTGTGTGTGTGTGTGTGTGTGTGTGTGTGTGCGTGTGTGCGTGTGTGTGTGTGTGTGTGTGTGTGTGTGTACACTTGTGCAGGTCATGAAATCAGAAAAGAGGAGTTGGAGGAAAGAGATCTTGTGGGAAGTGGGAGAGGAGAAAAGAAAAATATGACATGAAAAGTGAAATTTTAATCTCCCACTATAAATCAGAGTAAAACGTAAGCATTCAGTAGGCAAACAAAACCTGATGGTGGTAGTGCATGCCTTTAATCCCAGCACTCAGGAGGCAGAGGCAGGTGGATCTCTGTGAGTTCGGGACCAGCCTGATCTACAGAGCTAGTTCCAGGACAGCCAAGGCTACACAGAGAAACCCTGCCTCAAAAAAAGCAAAACAAAACAAAACAAAAGAAGGCCATCAAAAGGAACATACAATAAAATTTCTCTGGATGAGAAAATAATTTCAAGCTTAGCACAAAGCTAATTTTCATTGCCATGAAAATGGCAATGTTGTTTGATTTTTGAAACATAAAAGTGAAAAAGTACATAATTACAAACATTAACCAACTTACAAAATCAAATCAAACTAAGTAGTATTTCCAATAAATTCTTAAATGTGTCTACTTCTATCTACCTGTCTGACTGAACTGACTGAAAATGGTTTATAAAATTGTACCAGGAAGGAAACTTACAGTTCCATGTGACTGGGAAATACTGAGGTCTGACTATGCCCCTTTCAATTCTGTCCTTAAGTAGGAGTGTATGTGCAGGCACACGCATGTGGAGGTGCACGCATGTGGAGGGAGTCCCCTGGAACATCCCGGGTCCCCTAGTGCTGTCATTACAAACACATGCCACCACCTAGTTGATGCTTCCGTACAAACTCAGGTCCCCATGTTTGAACATCAAGAATTTCACTAAGTGAATCATCTCCCCAGAACCTTTTAAAAATAAATTTAGCCTCATCAAATCAACTAAATTCTCGATCTTCCTGAGAGTTTTTTACTATTGCTGAAATTTGAGTGGCATTCTTTGCACTTTTAAGACTATTCTGCTTGCCAGAAGCAATACCAGGTGGAAACTGACGAACATATACCCTTTAAACCTGTCTCAGGATCAAGTCTATATTGGCTCCCTATACTATCAGGGATACATATAAAATCAAAATATCGGTACGTGTTTGAACCTAAAAGGTTGCCTGGGTAACAGAACCTAGGGGGAAAAGTGAGAAGTTCGTATTATTTAAAGGATGGGCGGGAAAATCATTCATTGGATGATGGGCAGATCACTCGAATTTTCAGCAAACCAGTGTAGAGTTTGTTAGGCAAAGGGCGGGGAAGTGGCTCTTGGTAGCACTGCCCCCTATTGTCTGCCACGGGCTTATCCTTCTCGTCTGCTCCGACTTGTGGAAAGAAGTCCGGCTTTTCGGCTCCTGAGATTGTACACCTATCTTCCCGTGGAGCTTCTCAGGTGACATTAAATTAGAATATTAACCTGTAGCTTATCTCCTCGGCACTATCTACTCCCTTCAGCCCTCGCCATTACCTTAGCCCTTACTTCTTACCTCAACCCCTACCCTCTCGCCCCATCTTCAGGCCCCATCCGCCCTTAGGCCCCATCATTACCTCAGCTTTTCAGCCCTTTCTCCCCTCGGCCCCTCTCCCCTTAGCCCCTACTTCTCATTCTACCTCTCAATTCAGCCCCTCCCCCTCGTCAATTTTCACCACTCTTTCCAGTACTTTTCATTTCAGCTGCCCCCTCACCTCAGCCCCCAGATTTTGCTTTGCCCCTCCCTCTCACTTCAGACCTAGCCCGGACCTCTCTTGAGCCCCTTCACCTCAGATCTCACTACTCACCTTGACCCCTACACTTCACTTCAGCCCCACCACCTCAGTACCTCAGGCACCTTCACATCAGGCACCCCTTACCTCAGTCCCAATCCCACACATCTCTCCCTAGCCCTTGCATTACTCTGCACCTCTCATGCCAGCTTCCACCCCTCACCCCAGCTTCCACCCCTCACCTCAGCTTCCACCCCTCACCTCAGCTTCTACCCCTCACCCCAGCTTCCACCCCTCACCTCAGCTTCCACCCCTCACCCCAGCTTCCACCCCTCACCTCAGCTTCCCAGGAACCTCAGGCCTCAGCCCTCACCCCAGTCTCCTCCCACTTTTTTCAACCACCCCTTACTACACAGCCCCACCTTCACCTCCGTCCTCAGGTCTCCACTTCGCTCTTCCCCACTCCTCAGACTTCGTCTCACTTTAGCTACCCCTTCACCTCAGCTTCTCTCCCTTCATCACACCGTCTCGTTCAGCCTCACCCTTCGCTTCAGCTCCCTTTCACTCAGCCCCTACTCCTCTTCTCCACCCACAGCCTTTCACCTCAGCCCCTACCCCTAGCCTGAGCCTCTAGCCTTCACTTCAGCTTACCTGCTCATCTCAGCTACCACGCCTCTTTTCAGTTCTCTTCTTACCTCAGCTCTCACTTCTCACACCCACCCATGGTCTCGCCTCACCTGCAGCCAGCTTGACATTGGCAGGCACCATCTTCCCTAGAGTAATGGTTTTTTGTCACGGTCTTGGTGGTTCCAACCTCATTGTAGCAGTTACCTATTGGTGTCATACCTGCCCCAGGGGATGGAAACTGGACCTGATGGGTAAAAATGATCAGATGAGTTGGTGAATGTTGAAGTGTAATTAGAGACGGTAGTGAGATAGGCTGAAATCCCAGGCAGGACTTGGGCCACATGGCATTGGTAGTCTGGGAAGTCAAGATGCAGACTGAGTAAGAGAAGTTCACGGGTCTGAGAAAGGCCCCAAGGAAGAATGAGGTGGAGGTACAGATCAAGAGGGTTTATTTGGAGGAAGACTGGACTATACCTCAAAAAAGGAGGTAACATGGTGTCAAGATAGAACATGACTGTGAACAACTTTCAGTTCCTCATGGTTGGCTTTCTTTTCATGTTTTTGGATATTTCTACTCCAATCTGCACCTTGTCTACTACATCACATATTTATTCATTTATTTATTTATTCCAGGTGTCCTGGTGGTTAAAAATAATGGTTGCTTTCTGCAATGGTGAAGGCCAAGGTCTAAGCGTAATCCTGGGTCTGATCTGGGTCTTAAGCCTGTCTTTTAGCATGGAACTTACTCATGGGACTGTTCTTGTGCATCTGTCTGGTCCTAGGTCTGCTCAAAGAGGCTCCTGAAGTCACAGAACACAAGGAGTTAAACAAAGACAAGGAGTTAAACAAAATGGATGGAGCCTTCACCACCAAGGTGTCTGTGGAGCCAGCAGCAAAGGAGAATGAAAAGGAAGAACTGGGAGAAGATGACATGTGCATACTAATTACAGATGTACAGGGTAAGGAAGCAAGGCTCAGCGGGTTACTGGCAAGACATTAACAGGTGGACAAGGGTAGGAAGCAGGAAGGAGTACATGAGAGAGTGTCAGCGAGGCATCCGGGCTACAGACTCTGCTTAAGGAGCCTTAGTGCAGATCCCATCTGCTGGCCCCGTTCAGCTCTGGCCTAGGACTGGGGAAGTACTAGATATTTCTTTCCTCTAAACCTGGAGCTGCATGGGTCAGAGTAAAAGCCAAGTTCTAGAAGGACCCTTAAAGTTCCAAGAGAACATCTGCCCTCTAAAAACTTGTGTTTAACAAGAGAGCTAAAGTTCTAAATTTGTGAACCCACAGTTTACTGTTTATGGGAAATGGGTGGGGGTGGGGGGCTCTTGGTAGAAAGTGTGAAGAAAAGGAACCAGTAGATATGTTTTTCATTTTGAGTGCATGGCTTTTTTAAAATTTCATTTTTAGTTAAAAAATTTAAGTTAAAATACAATTATATCATTTCCCCATTTCTTTTCCTCTCTCCAACCCCTTCCATTTTATTTTTGAGAATTCCATATATGAGTATTTACATAATTTTACCCTCTCTCCTCCAACGCCGCCCATGACCACCACTCCTCCACCTACTCCCTCTCAAATTCATGTTCTCTTCTCCTTTTTTACTCTCTCTCTCTCTCTCTCTCTCTCTCTCTCTCTCTCTCTCTCTCTCTCTCTGTGTGTGTGCGTGTGTGTGTATGAGTGTGTGTGTGTGCGCGTGTGCGTGCAAGCAAATGAACTGTTGAGTCCTATACTGTTGCTCATATATGTGTGTTTTTAGAATTGACTACTTGGTATTGGATAACAAATTAGACCTTTTAAAACTGTAAAGAGGGGCTGGAGAAATGAGTCAGTGGTTAAAAGCACTTGTTGCTCTTGCAGAGGACCAGGGTTTGGTTTCCAGCTCTCACATGGTGCTTCAAACCCATCTGTAACTCTAGTTTCCAGGGAACCCAAGGCCCTCTTCTGACCTCTGTGTGGAGAGATTCTTGGAGATTTGGTCCCTCAGTGTGATTAACTGGCTAAGGGTCCCTTTGTGGACAGGAAATCCACAGGGAGGTGAGGAAACCGTCAGCTTTGCCATACAGTTTGCTGTGGTGATATTTTACTTGTGCTGAAATGTGGTGGTATTTTATTTGTGCTTTAATAAATAAAGCTTGCCTGGAGATCAGAGGAAATAGCAAGCCATTTTAAGTAAACAAAGAAGTCGGGCAGTGGTAGCACACGCCCTTAATTCTATCACTTGACAGGCAGGATCTCTGTGTGTTCAAGGCCACACTGGAAACAGAGCCAGGTATGGTGGCACATGCCTTAAATTCCAAAACTAGTTAGTCATGGAGGTCTGGAGGTCTGTACAGACAGACAGGAAGTGACAGAGCTGGGGAGGAAGAGAAGTGATGTAGCTGGGCAGAGAGAGCAAATCAGATGGCAGAACAGCAAGGCATATGTGAATGGGTAGACAGGAAGTAACTCGCATTTGGAAGCTGCAGAGTTGGTGAGGTGAGATTGGCTGGTGGCTTTCCCTATTTCCCTGATCTCTCTAATGCTTTCACCCCAATATTTGACTCTGTGTTTTTTATTTAATAAGACCATTTAGAAATTCATCTATAGTTTTCCTTTGAGGCAAACTATTTTACCAGCAGATCTGTCCCCATAGCATAACAGAATGCCAGCAGACCCCATGACTCTGGTCCCTTCCTTCCTTCACTAAGTAATCAGTGACATGGGTTAATTAGGTTACTGGGCAAAGGAAAGAAATATAGCCATGGAAATGATCAAATGTCTGAAATGTGAGAGCCAGGGAAGGTGCCCAGCTACTCTTTTCCTAATTGCTTCTATCCCCAGCTTTTCCCCAAAGATGCTGCTACTATTTATGGTGAGTTATTTTTCCACATCTCTTCTCACACTGTTATTCTTCACTCTAGCCATAAGTCAGTATGAGTTTGATCATTTCAAGGAAATCTACCAAGACTTTGGAAGCAATGAAAACACCAGACAAAAGGAAAATGAGTCAGAAGAAGCTATCCAGGACCCTGGTCCAGCACGAGACTGTCCCAGCACCTCCAGGTATCCTGCACAGCTTTGACCGTTACTCCCCATCCCTGCATTTATCATAACTTCATATTTTTAATTCTTCTAAAGTAGCTGAGAAAAATATATAAATTTAGATAGAAATTCAGTCAATCCTTTTTGAAATGTTAAATTATTAAAGTTCCTAGTAATTTTGCCATTAAAAGTATAAGTTAACCTTAATATTATCACTAAAGTGATAATTAAGGCTTACTTTCTGTCGTATTTTTAATTATACTTAAGTGATCAGGAAATTTTTTGTACTCTTTTCTATTTTGTTTTTATAAGATACCTGTGTTTTGTGACAGAGTCTTGCTATTTAGGCCAGGATGGCCTGAAATTCACTATATAGACCGTGCTGGTATCACATTTACAAAAGTATTCCCATCTTAGACTCTGAAGTGCTGGGATTACAAGTGCAAGCACCCATGCCCAGCTTCATTTTAAATTTTATTTTCCCTGTCCTCGTGTTTTCGGTTGCATAATTCCTAATACCCTCTTTCTCTCCTCCTCCTCCTCCCCCCCCCCTCCTCCTCCTCCTCCCTCTCCCTACATTCCTCCTCGCCTTCATGTCTTCCTCCTATTTTTTTTTTATAATCGCGACCTTAAAGGTTGGGGGATTTATTTACATCTCCAAATGCTCTCTCGAGTGAAACACCCGGTGTTAGGAAAGGAGACGAGGCCATTGGCATCATATGGTTGAAGCTCCCAGTTGGTTAGCACCTTAACTTTGCAGCGCACACGCTACAGCAGGGAGACATGTCCTCTGTTGGTTGCGGTCTGCACACCCACACCGATGGAGAAGGTCTGTGGAGCTGTCTACTTTCTTCTGTTTGGAGCGTCCTTGTGGCTGCCTGACGTTGCCTTCCTCACTGCTCTTTCCTCTAATTCCACAGCTAAGAGCCATGAAAGGAAAGAGGAACGAGAAGAAAGCCTGCTTGCTCTTCACTGCTTTTAGGATTTTCAGCTTTCAGAAGGCCCCCGAAGTTTTGAGACTGATGTCATTCTGTCTGTCATCGCTTAAAGGTGACTTTCAATGGCATGTGCCCTTTCTCCTTCTTGTTGGAAATACATCTCACAATGTTTGGTAATGTTAAGAATAAATTTTAAAAATAGAAATACTGTCATGTTTTATTTACATAATCTTGACTAAAATCTGTGTTTTTCTTCTTTGGATACTTTTAACTTCATTGAAATTGAACTTGTTTTCAATTACTTTATATAACCCAAGGTAAATTAAAATGTCATGCCTAAAACAATTCTTGTGAAGAGGGAGATGGAGGCGGGCCTTCTGAGTTGTACTGTTCACTCCATTCATCAGTAAGTGCATGTGACAACTGAGCACTTACAACTGAATGGCACTACTTGGATTTTAGAAGTGCTCCTTGGAAGAGAGTGTAATTTTTAAATTAGCGGGTTAAGTTACCATACAAAATTTCATTACGGCTTTTTCGTGTGTATGCGATTTTCTTGGTTTTTCTTCATCCCTTTCCAGTTAGGCTGCCTTATCTCTCCTGCCCTACTCCTGCTAGACATCTCCCTCCCCTTAAAAAGGCTTCCCTTCTGCTTTCCCATTATGTGTATTCCATTTTCTTCTCTTTTTCTCCCCTCTCATCTCTCTTGAGTCTCTTCCTCTCCTTTCAGGGTCCCCATCCTATTTCCATCACACACACACACACAGAGAGAGAGAGAGAGAGAGAGAGAGAGAGAGAGAGAGACAGACAGACAGACAGACAGACAGACAGAAAGACAGAGAGACAGAGAGAAATCTAAATTCCACATATAGGACAAAATGCTTTTCTGGGTGTGGCTTATTTTGCATAGCTTAATTGTCTTCAATTTCATCCATTTTTCTGGAAATCTCATTATTTCATTTCTTAATGCAAATGGAGAAAATGTTCCGTTTTGTATATGCTCCGTGTTTTCTTGGTAAGTTCGTCTTTTGAACAGCTAGTTCTGTTTTTCGCTATTTGAATAGTGCGGCAGTAAATATGGATGTGCGTACAATTTTGTGGTCTCTGACTTTAAGTATGTATCTGGGACTGGTACAATAGAGTATTTGGTATTTCTATTTTTTTTTATTTTTTGGATAAACCTCCACACTAATTTTCCTATCAGCCACACTAGCTTACATTCCCCTCAGCAGCCAGACAGTGGTAGCGCACGCCTTTAATCACAGCAATCAGGAGGCAGAGGCAGGCAGATCTTTGTGAGTTTGAGGCCAGCCTGGTCTACAGAGCAAGATCTAGGACAGCCACCAAAACTACACAGAGAAGCCCTGTCTCGGAAAAACAAAAACAAAGAAAAAAAATTCCCCTCAGCAGTGTATAAAAGCTCCTCTTTCCCTATATCCTTGCCAATATTTAGTATTATTTTCTTTCTTCCTAATAGTCATTAAGACTAGGGTGAGGGGAAATCTCAAAACTACCTTCCCTGTTGGGTAAAGGATATTGATCACTATTTCCAAATATTTATAGACCATTTGTATTTCTTCTTTTGAGAAATGTTCATTCATTACAGTAGCCCATTTATTGATAAGACAGGTTTTGGTTGTTAAATCATTCTGGTTCTTCATATATTCTAGATATTAATCTGACTGATGTGTAGGTGAAAACTTTTCTCATTCTTTAAATTGTCTCTTCACCCAGTGATTATTGCCTTTGTGATTAAAAATGATTTTGAATTTCATGCAAACCATTTGTCATTTGGGGGATCATTTCCTGCTATTAGAATCCCTTTCAGAAATTCCTTGCCTCTACCTATAATGTGAAATGCTTTACCTAGGTTTTCCCCTGGCAGTTTCAAAGTTTTAGGTCCTAAACTAAGGTCTTTCGTCTATCTTGTGTTGATTTTTATTCAGGATGATAGGTAGGGATCTAGCTTTATTCTTGTACATGTGGATTCCAGTGTGAGGTCCTGTTATTTCTTTAATTCTTTGGAGACTGCGTTTCACTATGTAGCCCTAGCTGTCCTGGAGCTCATCATGGCCTTGAACTCAGAGATTCTCTTGCCTCTACCTCCCCAGTGATGGGATTAAAGGCATGTAGCACAAGACCCAGCCTTTTCTTATTTCTTTAATGTAAGGGATGTACATATTGCTGGACCTCACTTCCTGTGAGCACATCTAAGTTGAGGGCCATGAATACTAGTCTGTGACTGGTGTAAATAACCTTGGGGCAGGCTAACTCTGTCCTAGTGTCTTTTAGCTAGTCTGGTACAGCCATCTTCATTTTACACACACTCAACTTTTCCTATGACTTAAACAAGTGGCCCAAAAAACATGTCCCTTTTGTGTTGTTGATAGTCAGGCTTTGATCAAGTTATTCCTACTCCAGTATAAGTAATCAGGCTTGCCTGTAAGCTTGTCTTGCAGTCTTGACCTAAGTTGAGAGATCATAGCTGGCATTTACTAAAGCCAGCATTTTGAGACATGGCCTTTCCCACACAAAGGGCTTTTCTATGGTCAGTTCCCATATTATTCATCCTTACCCCCAAGGCCCATTATGGCCTTATCTCCTTGTTCCTTTATTGGACCTCTTTTCCAGGCCCCTTTCGTTAGGAAGTCCATGGATGACCAGTGTTTAAAAGATAAGACCGATTGATGTCCTCCCAATAGTTCTTTTGTCCTCTGGCTACTCATCCATAGGCTGTCACTAGCTGGGGCCATAGCCAAAGGGACCACAATGTGTTTTACTGGTGTGGGCAGCTCCATCACAGCATACTAGGTCTTAGAGGTGATCCATGGCTGTCTATTCCCAAGTAGCATCACCTGGAGGAGATAGTGCAGATCCCCTCCTGGGGGACAGTAAGTTATCTTGATGGGTGTCCAGGAATTGGAATTTCCTTGGAACAAGGTTGCACTCCATACTAATTTATGTGACAGAGTCGGAGAGCTTGAGTGGGGACTGGCTCAGATGCACATCCACAGGATCAGAAAGGACAGCAGGAGGCAGAGGAAGAGCTGAGCCATTCTCCCTGTTTCTAGGTCGTTTTGAGATTATCAGTTTCAGTGGCTAGTCTGAGTTGGCTCTCATGGCCCACTCCTGGCTTGGGTCCACAGCAGCTTTGGTGTGAGTGTGGTGTATCCATGGCTTGACACCTGCAACTTTAAGAGCTGAGGGAGTGGTGAGGATTGGGCATTTTTGGTACAGTGTCAACCAAGTCTTTCAGGAACCTCTAGAGGAAGTTATGCCCATACTCTCAGAGGTCCCTTGAGTCCTTTAGGAGTAGTGGAGGTGGCTGGCAAACACAACCTCAAAAGTATAGTAACCATATTTACAGGGTGTGTAATGCATCCTAAACACTGTGTGTGGCAGAATTAAAGTCCTATTTACTTTCTCAACCAGGCCTGAAGGTTTTGTGGTGGTACTGTGTGTACAAGTTTCAAGTTAATTCTCTGTGCAGGTAGAATAAGCTACCCAGCCTGAAGAGTACACACCATAACCAGCAAGTATTGTTAGCTTCTGCTGGGTTGAGTGTCAGGAAAGTCCATTCATATAGGTTTAAATAGGTAGGACCCCTGTTTTGTGTCAACATGGATGCCTTGGGTCCCTGCTTGAGATTTTTCCAGGAACGCACAGACAGGCTTTGCTAGCTTGCAGTGTTGGCAACCTTAGCGCTACCAAATATCTTTGCAATAATTCTTGTAGGGCAATTTTATATCCAGATGGGTTGCTTCATTAGCTTTCAGGATTAGGCTGGGAGCTGTCATCTCTGGAATGATTTTCCTATCTGTCACAATCAGCCAGTCCTTCTGATTTTTAGTAGCTCCTTCATCCGTTGTTAAGGAATAATAAGAGGAGACTGGGGGCCTTTGTCTTCATGGAGGCCAGCCTGTTGGGCCGCCTGGTCTGCCAGTTGGTTTCGCTGACTCACTTGACCATGACTCTGTGAGTCTAGCAGTGTCCCACTGCCATAGCCAGGGGTCCAGCCAGCTTCTAGGAGTTGGAGGATTTGGTCTGTTTTCAAATTTCTTTACCCCCTGAGGTAAGCAGTCCTCTTTCTCTGTATATTGCT